CTTGGGACCAATAGGCTAGTCAAGTAGTGAGCCAATTTAAAATCGATAGTTTCGTATTGATTGTTGGTAGAACCATAGAGGTAACTCTAAGACTACAAGGTCCCGAAATAACGTGCTCAACTTTTTGGCTCAGCTCTGGTACTCTCTTCGGTCCCAAGCTAATCGTTTCACCCCTCGAAACATAGGAAAAACTAATAACCCCTCATTTTATCTGTCAAACTTTCATAGCGAATCAAAACAAACATTGCGTAGTACTAGAATTTCTGCTAGAATGGGATACGTTAATCGTTTGCTTGGGACCAACAGGCTAGTCAAGTAGTGAGCCAATTTAAAATCGTTAGTTTCGTATTGATTGTTGGTAGAACCATAGAGGTAGAACCTACTCACAGAAACTCTTCCGAAAGTCTGCTCAACAACCACAAACAAACTTTTTTCATAATTTGCTCTGCAGCCGGTACAGTTTAGCCTGTTGCATCAAATCCTCAACGATTTCGCCGACCGCATTCTGAACTAAACCGTCGTATTGGACAACTAGATCTTCTAGGCATTTGACCAACTCTCGTTGGAGGTAACCCGTTACGGCCGTCTTGACTGCCATATCGACAATACTCTATCGCCAAACCACCAAACTATCAAAGTTACCTCTGTGAAACTATGGTGTCGAGGAAAAATTGAAGCTGTTCTGGACTCTGGACGAGCCGCAGGGATTTTTGCTGTGAATCGGATGAGATGAACTGAGTTTTTTTTAGTTTGAATGGATTCATGATGCAGAAAATACTTACAGTACTTTTCGAAATGGGGCATGGCACGAACTTATTGGGCTTTACATTGGAGTAAACAATGCCGTTTTATATTATATTTGTTGTGACCTACTTGTCAACGAGTGCCCTAACGTTCCGAACAGTGTGTCATGCTGTGTTTCGGCACAGTGTGCAGAGTTGATTACCCTTGCAAAATCTTCTTCTATCTACTCAGCGTGCAGGCACCTCACGATTGCAAAACAAAATATTTTCTCTATCTCCTCGACTAAGACTTAGGGTAAGTCATTCTGCCACATTGTGTTAACACTCACAAAAACACACTTCGACACACTTAAAACACCCACAAACACCATTAAGTCGCATGATAAGGATTTTTTTAATCAATTCTGGTACCACTGCAAATACTGTTTACATTCGATTGTTATTTTGTTGTTGAGAAAGAAAAAAACCAAAAAACCATCGTACTATACTGCTGGGAAAGAAAAACATTCTGGATCTGGATTGAAATCCAAAGAAAAGGAAATCCGAAACCGGTTGGGATCCACGAAAGCAGCAGCATCAGGAGAAACAGATCCTAAAAAAGGTAAATGTCTCGCAAGAAAACCAAGACAAACGCAACGGAACAGTTTCTCATTGTAAATCGTAGGTTCTCACCAGCAGCAGCCCGATCACGGCCCCACCAATTAATTGCAAATTGCACCCATTGCTTGGTCCTTGTTCCTGGGTGGCACGTGCCCATTCGTCTTCCTCCTGCAGCAACAGGGCCTGTCTCACTCCGAGTTGCGGTCGTATTGGCTCCAAATAACCTTCCCGTCGGTTTTGCTTTTTCATTAAACAAATAACAGCAAAGGAGTCTGTCATTTTCAGCGTTATGTTATGGTTGAGTATATGGTTGCCAGAAAGTATATTTTTCCGGTTGAAGTTTTGACAGCTCGGTCATCAGGATGAAACACCCAGAAACACTTTCCGGCACTCAAAAACACACATGAAACACAGTAAGCACAGACACAAGGTGGCAGAATGACTTAACCCCTGCTTAGGAGGCCTGGATGTGCGACGTCTGTCCACTATGGAGCTGGAGCTAAGATGAAAGCCGTCTAACTCGAGGGAGATGTCACATCTAAGACTGTGTTCCATTTTCAAATAAATCTGCTGTTCCAGCACTTTCTCGAAAATCGGTCGATCAACAACAGAGGGATTTTGGAATATCTTAGTTTATTTTAGAAGTGTCAAATTTAAGTGAAAATTTTCCAAATGGAACACAGCTCAATTCTAGATGCTAGAAAAATTCGCACTAGCAAATAAATCTACGAAAAATCTACATTTATTTCTCGCATCGTCGTGCATCGCGCATCATCGTTTTGCAAGATATCTTCAGAATCGTCATCAATCTTGTTTCTATTTACTCAGCGTGCGCACAACTAACCACACCAAAACTCTTTCCTGCATCGTAGATCGTCTGTCTCCAAAACCTACAAATTGTTACATAACCCAACAGAGAAAAGCGTACGAACTGATTAACGATGACGGCTTTTAGTCATACGATATGCACTTTTATTTTAGGTTTGAAGTCGATAACTGGTTGGACATGTGGATAAATTTATCTTATTCTGGACAATCTTCTAAGAAAGCTTCCAACACGACTTGCAAACAGGATTATTTGATTTAGAGATAGGGTAAGGTGGGGCAACATGGGTATGTAGCAAACCTGTTGATATTGATAAACAAATGCATTATTAAATACACTAGCTGACCCATGTAACCCCACCTTACCCTATCTCTAAATCAAATATTCCTGTTTGCAAGTCGAGTTGGAAGCAAAATAAGACGAAACAGACGAGAAACTGAAAGAATTTGAAAAAGCTCTCTAACGAGTGCCAACCCGAGTCGCGTTAACGGCACGCACAGACTGACAATTGATTTTCCAATGGGATGAAAGGATAACGAATAGCCCGCCATGTTTGCCCACAGGAGTAAAGGGTCACCCACATTGGACAGACAAGGTCCGATCTGAGCATACAGATGAGAAATCTCGCCTCAAAGGGGAGAGACGCCAAAGTAACAATGTTCGAAGATCTAGCGGGGCAAGCGAATTAAAAATCTTGCAAGAAGAGAGACGCCAATAGATTCAAACATTAAAGTAGCTCATGTCTAACGAGAAACGTTGCCAAATCACGCATTATATGCGGTTGGATCACACCAGGAAGAACTACCAAATTATTTCTAAATTGGGCAGATACTTCACACACTCAATTTGTATTGCCCAGATTGCAACAACCGATTAGTTCTGCATTTTATTTCGCTGGGACTCAGTTAAAGAAAATTACCAAGACTCAGCTAACAAATAGATATTTTGCAACGATACCTTACTTAAGCATCCTGAGCACCTTCAGTGGTGCAAAGGCCCAACGCGAAAGCTTTCCATCATGGGCCGCTGCTTACTTAAGCTTTATCCTGGGCCCAGGTCAAATTGGCATCGACTTGTTTGATTTACTTGTTGATTCCCCTTTGCAGTCCTAAACGCATATGCTCACCCCCTGGAAGAATTTTTGTTTGATTGTGAAATTTGACATGACATTTTGACATACAGTAGTTGATTTTAAATTGGGTCATGCGGAGGGCCAATTAAAAAGCAGCCCAGGTATTAAAGGTCCAACCAGTGAATTTCGACTGTAAATGTAGTATTTCACACTATTTCGCAAAAGTTATAGAACTTACTTAAAAAACAGGGTGAATGGAGAAGCGACGGTGACTGGCTACTTGACTGTATATGGAACCTGGTTAAAAATCAGTCGAATTTTTCACTGAAATTGGTATCATTAGTGATGATTTTCTAGTCCCCTTAATAGCTTCTTTTGGCAAATTATGTGGCGAAAATAGCACGAACTGTATTTGCATGTCAAAGAGAAAGTCCATGAAAAGGGTCGATTAATGTAGATAGGACCTATTGAAAAGCGACATGAATTATGATTGTCTAATACCCCGTACAGACTATGGCTAATATCATGTAATATAGGCTGTCTTGCAATGAGCACTCCAGTGCAGGGGTTGAAACAGTTGACGTTTTTTACTACACTCGCTTCGTTGTCGTGCGCGACAGTCTGTTTGTATTCGAACACTCATGCTCTACCGTCGTCTCTCTCACACAACACGAGCGGTAGAATAACATTCGAGCTAAAAGAAAATTATCAAAATAGCTATCATATGACATGTGCGATTTCGTTGTAATTCCTCAATTTGGTGTAAATCAAACCATTTCTGATCAGAAATAGTATTTTCAGAATTCACACAAGCACACCATCAGCAGCTCTTATTATGAGAAAAACTAAAATACATACATTCGTGACGGTCTTCGGCGACAGTGTCGTATGACAGAGCCTGTCATACGACATTTTAGTTTGGTAGTGTACTATGATAGCTTGTTTTGCAAGTGTCGGAGGCAAGGGCAGTCAATTATCACAGAAAATGTGTCGGCTACCGTGACCGCTTACAAGACTGCTCCAGTGAAAAGATTTCCAGTGAAATCTAGATGTATGAGTGCTCATTGCAAGCCAGTCTATATTACATGATATAAGCCACAGTCTGTCCGGGGTATAAGAAGCATCAATTTCTCATACAACTGAGTAGAAGTGACTCTCGTTCTGAGTTCAAGCTGAACATTGCATTAGGTCTTAAGTAACATTGACAGATTCTCTTCGTCGACTTTCTCTTTGTATCTCCACGGCCATGTTAAGACATTCCCAGGTATTTTCAGCACACAGATCGATAAAAGAAGCTTTTATCTAGCATGTAACACGACAAACACAACAGGAAATGGTTCTGTGCTCAAGTTATTAACGAAAGAGAATCGATCAATATTACTTAGGACTTAATGCAATGTTCAGCTTGAGTTATTCTCATTGGCCATGAATACGCTAAATCTGTCGCTCAGGTCGCTGGAATCGTTTTACAGACTTTTGTACACGAAAAAAGTGCACACCATCTTTTTTGAAACGGTTATAACTATAGTTGAAAAGGTTTATCGCAACAACAAAACATCAATAGAGCCGATCCCTAAACGATTGTCAACTGCTCATCTGGAAAACGAATTTCAAATGAAGTTAAATTTTAAGAAATTGAAGAAAATAAAACTAAACAAATGTTTAAAAACAGCCTTAAAATGAAAACGCTACAGTGCCGCTATCTGCATTTCAGAAGAAAGTCTGGCTGTCATTAGGGGAAATGAAAGAAATGTGAAAATGAAGATTTGTCTTATCACCGATAAGAAGATTTATTGAAAATAAGGAATTGGACATAATTTCAACTGAAATTAATCGTACCTCTCTAAGAACTATTTTGCATTGCATAGCGACACTCTCGCATTCGGTAATTCAGAGATGAGAAAATGTGTTTCCCTATCTTTTCTCCCTCGTAGATCTCTGTAATTTGCTTCTGTTGAAATTTTGATTCTGTTAATCAAACTTTTCAAGAATCCTGTTCAGTCTATAAACATTTCTAGTCGCTTTTTTTTTTGTTTTGAAGATTTGATATTCGCTACTCTTCTGCCTCTGATAGAAGCAGCAGCAGCCGAGTAGTGACTTGAATTGGCTGGCCTGCAGATTCGGTTTGTGTAGGTGTGTGCAAATGTCGTGGAAAATTAGGAAGAAGCCATACCAATCAGGAATCCACCGAAGAAACCTGTGGCCAGATAGGTATTATCTTTGGCGATCTTGATTACCTGGAAGTGGGAGGAATGTTTTCATTCGCTGGAGATGAATTTTTTCTGAAGTGCAGTTAATTTGACTTGCAGGAATGCAGGTGAAAAGCTCCGATCGTGATTTGTGTGGGAAATTATTGGTGCATGAATGTTAAGAGTAGATAAAGAAGTGTTTTCTTACCTTGTCAGCCCAACTCGGTCCCTGACCGGTGACGGCTTCCTCGACTTTGTCGGTCACCTTGTCTACCTTTTTGTGAATTTTATTCCAATCGATTTGAACATAGCCCTGCTGGTTGGCAATTTGCAGCAAAATGATTCCGCCACCGACGGCAATCGCTGCCATTTTCCCGACCTTCATTGTGATATATCCGGTTGCCCTAAAAGAACGTGTTTTATTTGAATCCAGAATTTAAGTACACAAATATACAAATTACCATCCACTTCCAGCACCGATAAGGATCTGTTTGGTGGCAGATTTCTTACTGACATCGCCGACAAAGCGGTCCAGATATCCAGCAGCTTCACTCATACTGATGATTTCCTTGTTAGTTTCGTCTTTCTTGATTTTCCTATCGCTCATACCTGGAAAGAAAAGCAAGTAAAGTAACTAAAGCAAACTACATGAAACGCGATTGACAAGCTGTCTGCAACTGTCTTGCGAGCCAAAAAGTAAATCAAAGAGCAGTACATAGTTCTTAAATTAGGATCCCGCGAGGAATCAGCTGATGTCATCTTCATTCATTAATAAAGAAAAAAAAAAAAAAAAAAAAAAAATCTTCATTCAAGAGTGATGAAAGTGAATTCCAACGGCGCCAGCAATTTTACAATCCCTTCCCAAAATACCACCCCTGACTCATTTGCACGATTCCTTGCCATCGGAATCTATTTCTACTCGTCTATGTTGTCACTTTCCCTGAATTATCCCAAGTAGAACATATTCCATTCCGCATTTTTCAGGATAACAAGATTACATAATCAAATTTATCTTCTTACAACACCCTGACCTTAGCAATGGAATCGAAACGCCGGGAAGCTACGACATAAATGCGAAGTGACTTTGGCTGAAGGCCATCCCACGATCACTCTTTCACGAGGTATAGTAGTGGTCAAACTCGAATAGTAGAAGCCACATACCTATCGAAATCAAAAATGTACGATCGATGACTCGTCCCCATCGAAATTTTCGTCTCCTACATCCTGAGCGAAAAAAAAGCAACGCAATAGCCATTTACCTACCTCTGGCGAAAACGGGGTATTTTGAATGCTTCTTGGCGGCGGAGCAGCGCTTGCACTTCCAAAATTTTAACTTTTCCAAATCAATTGCCACAATGTCCACTGGAAATTTTTCGTTTTCACTCTGCACCGAGGACCGAAAAAAAATGTAATGCTAAAATTTCGTGATGATCGATGCGAACCAGATGATGGCTTTTCAGCTCTTTGAGAAGGAGACGAGTTTCGTCTTTCTCTCGCTCAACTTTCTGTCTCTCTCTCTTTCTTTCGCAAATAAGGGGTTGCTTTGTGTTTTTCTTGAAGGATTCTTTGTGTTTTGAATTTTGACAGCTTTCAATTTTTCAGATGGGAAACTGTTATACAGACCTGCCCAGTGGTTTGTATGCACGGTAACTTGAAAGGCTCATTAATGTGTACAATTCCACCCATTTTGGGGAAAAGTGGTTATAAATCCGTAAAAAAAATCAAATAAAAATATTGCGCATTTCACACCAAATCGGACTAATAAGTGCGTTTTCACTTATATTAAAAAGTGTAATAAAACAGCAAGTTTACGTCTAATCGTCTTGGTGTCTTCGGTGCACTTCTTCCTTATGATGCAAGCAATAAGTGCTCCCAAGACATCAAAACAATTTGACGGAAACGTGCACTTTTAAGGTACCGAAGAAACGTGCTCAACTTTTTGACTCAGCTCTGGTACTATCTTCGGTCCCAAGCTAATCGATGCACCCCTCGAAACATTGGAAAATCCACGAACCCCTCATTTTATCGGTCAAACTTTCATAGCGAATCAAAACAAACATAGTGTAGTACTGGAATTTATACTATACTATAGAATGGGATACGTTAATCGATTTGCTTGGGACCAATAGGCTAGTCAAGTAGTGAGTCAATTTAAAATCGTTAGTTTCGAATTGATTGCCCCGACCAACCGTTCGTGAAACTTCTTCAAAGTTCTTTATACAGAAATAAAGAATTAATACGACAATTCTTTACTTTAAATTTTCTATGATTTCGATGTGCACATTTAAAAATCTTTATTGATCGATACTTACATTTAGGATTATTTCTTCATCGGTCATAAGATAGTCGAGAAGATAGTATTCTTTAAAGGTGCCATACTAAATTTCTTTTAATTTCGAAATCAGCAGTTGAGTATCGATATTTTGATTTTACAACAGAAATCGATATTTTGATCTGGCAACACAATCGATATTTTAACATTGGTAACGATTGGTAGCAATATTTTGACAAAGATCTTTATAAATGATTCACGATTAGACTTTTAGCATCTTTACAATTATTCATGAAATGGTGACGATCGCTATCGATTTTTCTTATGAATGGCTTTGAAGATCGATGTATAGAAAATTAAAGAAAATTAACGAAATGGTTGGTCGGGTGTTGGTAATACACACGTTCTTGTGCAGAAATTCATCCAAATGGTTTAGTCATTCAAAATTTGGAAACATGGGAACTATAGATATCACACTTAGAAAATAATACCGAACTCAGTTTAATTTTCTACCGAACCTCTTCGGTTACCAACGAGAAACCGAATAAATGATTTAAACACATTTTTTCAGGCGTATTTATCGAATCAGACCCGAATTTCGGTAAAATGGTATAAATTTGACAGATAGAAACGAAGACTGAACCGAAAAGTACGGTAATGTATCGACATTTACGAATTCGCTACGTGAAAACCGAGAAACTCGGTAAACTTAACCGAATATTCGCTAAAACGTGTTAAACGTTAAACGCTTAAACGTCAAACGTTCCACTTGCGCTCAACTTTGCGACGGAAATTTTAACCGAAAACTCGGTTCTCTAAGCTGAGCCTAAAATTAGGCAGCCATTTTTTTCTCGCGTGTGCTCGTCGGACTATAGTCGCTATATTCATAGTCTGGCGGATAGAATCTCGGGAACCAATTGAGCTGTCAAATAGCGGCACCAATCGAGCAAATCACGACAAACAACAAAATAGAGCACATCAGTTATTGCGAACAAAACTTCGGAAAGCCTTTTTCTCGTGACTCAAGACTCGCCTACGCAAATTAATACCATATTTGGGTTGGGGAAAGTTTCCCCTATCCGACGACGCTGGTTCGTGTCTAATCTATTCCGAGAAAATTATTTTTATCTAGATAACAAATTCCTATGGTTTTGACAGATGGGATCGCTGCACATTTGAATCCGCCGTTATGGATTCTCGATCAAGAGTTAAGTTTTAGTTTCATGTCGGTTTGTCGGTGACTATACGTCGGACGTGTGCTAAACTGGAGGCTAATAGTACGTTCAGACTACAGAGTTATAACATGTTATAGCGCTATCTTGATGGTGGTTTCTGTGTTGCAATTATTTGACAACCGTTATAACATGTTATAACTCTCCAGTCTGGACAGCGTTTAAACTTTAGTAAAAATGGAAAAAGTTCTGGAGCATCTTCAACAGGAGGATGCACGTTTGATTGAAATCTTTTGTAAGTATTTGAAACTAACGGTATGATTTTATTTGCAGGCATCTTGTGCTATAGTTTGTTTCTCCTGCCGTGAAAATATACAAGGTTATGTCTCTGGCTTGCAAAGGCATTTTAAAAACCATTTGAATTAAGGCCTGTACTCGAAAAAAATGCACCAGACAAAAGTGTTCGCCAAAAATTTATTTTAAGTCGGATTTTCATGAAACTGTCAGGGAATGAACTAATACATATGGATTGTGTTTCGGCATAATTACTTTATTCAATTTCCTTTCCATCGCTGAAAGTCCGCACCTTTCCCTTAAGACCCCTCATTACATTTTGTGTAATGGTGGAGCCGATCTTTTTGGTCACTTTCATCCATTCTTTCTTCAACTCCAGCTCGGTCTTAAACACCTTGGACGATTTTCAAACTTTGGCCTTCATTATGGCCCTAAACCTTTCCACCGGACGAATCTCTGGTGAATTTGGGGGGGTTGGCGGTTTTTGGTACAAAAACAACGTTATTGTCTCTGTACCAATCCAACGTCGATCGCGCGTAATGGCATGATGCCAGGTCCAGCCAAAATAATGTCTCGCCTCCGTGGGACCGCAGGAAGGGCAACAGACGCTTCTGGAGGCACTCGGTGCGGTAAATTTCGCTGTTGATGGTACCCATTGTGATGTACGGTTTACTCAGTTTACCGCATTGCCATATGGCCTGCCAGAGCAAGTTTGGCGAATTTGTCCACTTTCTTCTTCCTTATGTCTTCCGAAACATCAAACCGTGATTTGGCAACGTAGAACTCCAGCCCCGGTATCTGCTTTGCGTCTGCCTTGATGTAGGTTTCATCATCCATAACCACACACATCGGTTTCGTTAACCACTCTCGATACAGCTTCCTTGCGCGGGATTTGGCCGCCGTATTTTGTTGATCACGCCGGTTCGGTGCCCTCCAGACCTTGAATACACGAAGCCCAGCTCGTTTCATGGTTTGCTGAACGAACCAGGCGGAACACTTTGCCTTCAGAGCCGCGTCGCGAAACGAAAGGTTCGGATTACGCTTGAAATAATCCAACACCTTCCGGGCCTTCACAGTGTCAGCTGTCTTCGATTTTCTTCCACTTCCAACCCGCCGCTCGGTCGTCTGGGATTCCTTAAACGATTTTACCACCCGAGACACAGTTGTATGGGTGATTCCCAGTTGTCTTCCGATCCATCTCATGGTCACAGTCGGATTTTCCATGACGGCGTGCAAAATTCTCCGGCGATTTTCTTCTTGTTTCGATGACATCTCAATAACCACTGAACCGATTGTTATGAAATTTTGCAAATGTAAACAATTTACTCCAAACTAGTTATACCAACAATCAATACGAAACTAACGATTTTAAATTGGCTCACCACTTTAGTAGCCTATTGGTCCCAAGACAACGATTAACGTACCCTATTCTAGTTGAAATTCTAGTACTACACTATGTTTGTTTTGATTCGCTATGAAAGTTTGACAGATAACATCAGGGGTGTGTGGATTCATGCAGAACATGCAGGGGTGAGTGAAATAGCTTGGGACTGCTTGGGACCGTTGTTCTGGTACTGAGTGAGCCAAAAATAATAATGATTTTCTTCGGGACCCAGTGGTCTTAGAGTTACCTCTATGGTTATACCCTGTACCAATGAGTAAATAAGGCACATTTACCAACCTCTACTATAACGCTACTTGCGTACTGGGGGTTGCTATTCAGGTGGGGGAAATAGCAATCCACACCTTGGGAAGTAGTGAGTTCATAAATTTAGCAACCTGGTAGCAACGCATCAGACGGTTGCTATTTTGAATAAACGTCAAAAGTTTGTTTTGCCGATGTGGAAAACGGATAATTTAAGTTACCTTTCATAATTTAAGTTAGACTCTGATAGCAACGACCGGTGTGGAGAGGAGTGATTAAGCCAAAATGGAAACGCTGTGCGTAAGTAAAATAGTTCCGCAAATGGCAACGACTGGTACGGTTGCTCTAAGGTCGAATGAATAAAAGCGTAACTTTACTTTTCCCGTAAGAAAAGCACGGGAAACCCGCATAAACGCGAACCATAACTTGACCTTACCGACAATAATTATAAATTGTTCATAATCCCCCCTAAACTTTAACTGAAATGATTATGGAACTTTACATGAACGTTTGTGTGATAAAGTTTTAACCTTATGTATTATTGTTTTTTGAAAGCGGACCTCACAAATAATGGGTTGTTAAGAACCATTACCATTCAAAATTCAAAGTAAAAACGTTCTAATATAGTTCTCTTTTCGAAAATGTATGGAGAAAACAATCCATACATTTTCGAAAAGAGAACTATATTAGAACGTTTTTACTTATGGTTTGAGAACATTAGTGGTTAAGGTTATGATAGTCAGTAAGGTCCATTAATGGTTTTGTATTATCGCTCAACTTTACGTGGAATATATCGTGAATTGGTAATCAGTAATTTACAGGCAACCAATTCGCGATATATTCCACATAAAGTTGATCGATGTTACAAAACTATTCATGGACCTTACTGACTACCATAACCATAACCATTAATGTTCTCAAACCATAAGTTAAAAGGTTCTAATATAGTCCTCCTCCCGAAAATATATGGAGAAAACAAGAATTTTGAATGGTAATGGTTCTTAACAACTCATTATTTGTAAGGTCCGCTTCCAAAGAACCATAATTCATACACAGAAACAAAATCCATTGGCAAAAATACTATATTGATGGTTTAAATTAAATACTCCCACCAATAGATTTGTGCAGAAACGAAATTCATTTAATTTGACTAATTTTTCTATCAAAACTACTATACCGTTTGAGTCAGCATAGTAGTTTTGACAGAATGGTAGTATATTTTCGTTATGTCGTAAGTAACATCCGCACCAATCCGAGAAAAATAAAGTTTTGTTTTGATGACCGAAAAGTTATTCCTATTTTCAAGTAAACACATATAATCTCATAGTGATAGCAATGTTTAACATATTTAGCAGGGTTTTAATCATACAAATGCAAATCGCTAGCTTTCATGCTAAAAAATACTGGTTTTTGAGTCAAAAGTTATTATACGTCGTTTGGTGGCCCCTATTGTTACTTAAGTCAAAGTGTATTTACCAGGATATTCGGGAGAATTATCAATTACGTCTCCTTACGTGCAGCTCATTCATCATTTTAGGACCACCGAAATCATCTTAGCAACAAACAGATCGATTTATTCACTTTAATAATGAGAAAGCAAAACGACGAACGTACACTTTTCACGGTTTTCTCAGCGCTGTTACTTAAGTCAAACGGCATCTCCATAGAAATTGGGTGACTTAAGTAACATCGAAAACTATTTTGTTTACCTTTGTTACATTCGACGTAATGAAAATTTGCTCTTGATAAAGCTAGGTAGAAGTTTTGCCGTTTTCGGAAGGGTACAACATTATAACAATCACAGTAATATTTTCGCACATGCCAGAAAATTAAAAAATCGGCTTATTTGAAAGCAGTAACAGCTTAAGAACATTGCTAGCAAGCTACGCTGTTGAATTAAAGCTCTAGAAAGCATTAAGAAGCTCCATATTTAACTTTTATGACCAGTGCGAAAATAATACTGTGTACTTATTTTTAGCGCAGGAGTCTAATCAGGTGCGGAATCCGCAATATTGTCGACAATAAATTTTAATGTTAGAACATTGTTTCCACTGAAAATTTCTCTGTAATTTTTTTTTTCGGGTGATGTTTTGGCAAAAATGTATAAGTGAAACACACGAATTCATTCTACAACAGGAGGATGATTTCGTTCAGTGTAGATAATGTTTATAAACACAAACAGAGGCCGGTTATTGTTTCGCCGTTCAGTCTGTACCGAAGACGACAGCTGAGCCGGCCAGCATGTTGTGCAACAGTTCTATTCCTCACCGGATCAAGCGGATCCTGCAACATGCAGTCAATATTCGATGGAATCACAGCGTGTCCGACGCTGCCCTTCAGGAGAAATACATACGTAACATCGGAATCCTAGCGCACATCGATGGAGGTACGTTTGTAAAATAGCAAGAACGAAACATAGAACCTTCATCGGCATTCTCAGGTAAAACAACCACCACCGAGCGGATGCTGTTCTACTCCGGAAAAACGAACGTCCTGGGTGAAGTTCATCATGGTAACACGGTCACGGATTTTCTGGTCCAGGAACGTGAACGGGGCATAACAATTTGCAGTGCAGCGGTGAGTTTCGACTGGCGAGATCACCGGGTAAACTTGTTGGACACTCCGGGTCACATTGATTTTACGATGGAAGTGGAACAGTCATTGGCGGCCGTTGACGGGACGGTTGTAATTCTGGACGGGTCGGCTGGAGTTGAGGCACAAACGGTTACGGTGTGGAACCAGGCAGACAGGCACCATCTGCCGAGGGTGGTTTTCGTCAACAAGATGGATAAGGAGAATGCGGATTTTGAAGGCTGCCTGCAAGATTTAAGGAAGAAGCTGGGCATTGTTCCGTTGCCCATACAGCTTCCGCTTATGGAAAAGGGGAAGCTGGCTGGTATGGCATTGAGGGATTTGTTATAGTTGGCCGATGTGGTAACATGAAGTTTTTTTTTTTAGGAATTATTGACATACTGTCCGGAACGCAGGTCGTTTGGGATAGAAACTCCAGTGGTCGAATGTACAAAAGTATTCCCCTGGGAGAATCAGAGCTGGCCAACGCTCAGGACAAGTTGTACGAAACCATTGATTCCCTATCGGGGATGGACGATCAGCTGGCTCAGGCAATCATCGAAGCAGATAGCATGGAGAATGTGAAACCGGAATTGGTGCTCAACGCGATCCGGTCCTGTACGATGAAGCAACAGATTGTGCCAGTTCTTCTGGGGTCTGCCTACAAAAATATCGGAGTGCAGTTGTTGATGGATGCCGTGTTACGGTATCTACCGGCACCAAATGAGCGGAATCATATCTACAATTGCTTTGGGTTTGTTTCAGATTAACTTGTTCCGAATGTTCAGTTTTTGTAATGTCTTTTTTTTCAGTTCGGAGTTTGTAGGAAAGGTGTCGAAAGTAACCCACGACAAGCAACGTGGGCCGCTTAGTTTGATACGTGTTTTTCGCGGCACGCTAAAGAAAAGTGCAAAAATTGTAACCGCCAAAGGTGCTGCCGAAACCATTCAAAGGATCTACGCCCCTTGGGCTGATGAGTATCGGGAAGTCGCGTCCATCGGAGCGGGTAACATTGGTCTCTGTGCGGGACCAAAATCGACGGTGACAGGGGATCTTGTAGTATCGAATACAACCTCATTGCGAACTGCTTTCAAAAAGCTCAATGTGTCTGAAGGCGTTGAAGAGGATAGTGATTTGGACGAGGTTCTCGCTAACAAACTATCGCTCCAGACATTGGTGCCGGATGCGGTTTATTTCTGCTCCATAGAACCACCATCTTCGGCTTATCAAGCTGCTTTGGACAGTGCCCTAAAAGAAATTCAGCGAGAAGATCCCAGTTTGAGGGTGACATATGACGAAACAACGATGCAAACGGTTCTCGGTGGCATGGGTAAGCTCCACCTAGAGATAATCAAATCGAGGATTATGTCGGAATACAAAATCGATGTAGACTTGGGTGCGCTTCAAATCGCTTACAAAGAAACTCTTGAAAAGCCATGTCGAGGTAGCTGGACGGCTGAGAAGGAAATTGCTGGACACAAACAATTTGTTCAAATGGAACTGACCGTTCATGCCAAAAAGAGCGATGTAAAGTTTCGTCTGGACAACTCTCCGGAAGCTCAAGAGAATCTTAAGTTGATTCGACCACGTCCGTTGTCTTATGTCAAGAAGGGCTCTATCGCTGCACTGGAACGAGGTCCAAAATTGGGCGGTCAGCTAATGAATGTTGCGATCACTCTACACCACTTGACCATAGGCAAGGGAACCGCAGATACCTTCATAATGGCAGCAACGGCGCAGTGTGTACGACATGTACTTTCTTCGGCAAATGTCCGCTTGATGGAACCGATTATGCTGCTGGAAATAGCCATGCCATCCGAGTACCTGAACTCTATCATAGCGGATCTGGGACGGAGGCGGTGCACGGTGCTGGATGTGACCTCCAGGGGACAGCAGCAAAAGGTTCTCCGTGCGAATGCCCCTCTTGCTGAGTTGGATGACTATTCGAGCGAGGTGAGATGTATTAGTTCGGGAACGGCTAGCGTTTCGATGGAACCAAATGGCTATGTGATGCTGAACGAGATGGACGAAGTGACTGCCATCCGGAGGGCGCACGGATTAGAGTAGTGTTTCGGTAAGTGGATGCGCAATAATAGTTATTCTTGATTGTTGAAATACCGTGCTGTTTGCAGTGGAGGTCGAAGTTGAGAAAGCCACGCGTAAAATCCATTTACTCGCATTGCTGTCCATCTTTTTGCAGAAAATCTTCAAAATCTTCATCAATCTTCTTTCAGCTACTAAGCGTGCACGAATCTCATAAAAGCAAAGTGAAATTTTACCTGCACCTTAGATAAAGTCGCCCCCTTCGAATTATACCTGATTTGTGTTCGTTGAAGAAGAATCTGAATTAGAACAAAAGTTGTGGTTTACGAAAAAACTGCATATTTTGTTGTTTTTCACCTAAAATCATGATTTCAGATTCCGATTCACGGACCCCAAATTATGTAAAACTAGCTGAGTATACCCGGCCTTGCTCGGGATGCAATATTAGCTTGAGTTCATGCGCCGACTCAAAAAAACTGAATCCGATGCTTATGGTTATGCTTATTTTTCAAGTCATGTCAGGGTGTCAGGATAATTAATCGCCTAATAATTAATGCCAATCAATCAATTGACAATCAGTTAATGCAGTACGATTATAAGGTGCCGTTTGTTCCAACTATCGTTCTGAAAAGCTCAGCTAAGTTTATTAGTCTTTTCAATCCATATCATATAATCATTATCAGCCGTAAATCTACTGGTGGAGGTGTCTTTGTAGCTGTCCGTGACGGGTTGGAGGCAAAGGCCATCGAGAACGATTCATGGAACTATTTTGAGCAGGTTTGGACAGTCATCAATCTGGGTGATCGCACACTATTTCTATGCGCTCTGTACATTCCACCTGATCGAGTCCGGGACAATGAACTCATCTATACTCACTGTCGGTCAGTTTTCACAGTTATCGAAAGTGCCACTCCAGTTGATGAGATATTCATTTTTGGTGACTTCAATCTGCCAGGCGTTTCGTGAAGTCCATCTCATAGGGGATTCCTGTATCCAGATCCTGCTAGCTCTACATTTCACGCAGGAGCGATTAGCCTTCTCGATGTTGAGCCCCCCAAGCGGCGACAACTTCATCAACTAGAGAGAAACCATGATACATATGTTTGTTATCATCTGTATTACTTCCGCTGAATAAAACTGTCATTCCTTTTGTTGTTCACGTTCAGTACACACGTGTTTTATTACTTCCCGATCCGAGTTCTTTTTCCAATGCCATTGCGGCCACTCCAACAGGTTATGGGCCCAGTTGGTTTCGTTACGGATCGTTAGCGGGAAGTGTTCGGGTTCGTTTTTCGGTTGCTTTAGTTCGAGTCGAATTATTATTTCCGTGAAAGTCGCGAGTGAGAAAACGGTAGTGTTTTTCCAGAACTTTCTCGCGGAATGGAGTGGGCAAGAGTTGTCAAGCTGAATAACTCTAATTACCCGGCGTGGTCCTTCTCCGTCACGGCACTGCTCCGGCGAGAGCAGCTGTGGAAATACGTCGACCCGGGAGTCGCACCGAATCCAGTGACCGGTGCATGGAGAGAGGGCGACGAAAAGACGCTCGCCACCTTTCAGCTGTTGGTGGACGAGAGTCAGTACAATTTGATCCGCGACAAAGCAACAGCGAAAGAGACGTGGGATGCACTCAAGCTGCACCACAACAAAACGTCTCTGGGGCAGAAAGTGACGCTGCTCAAGCAAATCACCAACCAAAATTACCGAGTGGGTGATGATATGGAAAGTTATCTTGCCGGCATCGAGAAGCATTACGCTCGTCTCCAGAATTCGGGCTTCGAGATGACCAAATGCTTGAAAGTGGCGCTGATCCTTCGTGGCCTTCCGGACGCGTTCAATCCGTTAACAACAGCGTTGAAGGCACGGGACGAAGATGACCTCACACTTGAGTTGGTTAAAGTGAAGCTCGTCGACGAGGCGGAAAAGCAGAAAAAGCAGAAAGGTGAAACGGAGGAGCAGGCGCTACGAGTTGGATCCAGCCAGCAGCAGCAAAAATCTGTTGATGTTTCGTGCTACTATTGCGGTAAGCAAGGACACCGCAAACGGAACTGCAGAGCGTTCATTGCGACGAAGAATAGTGAGGAGAAAAATCCGAAGAAGAAGAGCAAAGAAAAAGTAAAAACAGTGCGCGAAGACGACCCAGAGTCGTTTACGTTTATGGTACGTGTGATATCCTGGAATTTGCTTGGTATTTCTTATATATAATGAAGATTATGAATCCTTGTCAGCAATTACAACGTCTATCTTTATTCATCCTCTTATACACACTGAAGTAAAACATATCTTCAATCTTATGGATACCACATCCTCCCATTACACAAATAGTATTGAAATAGTAAACTATAACCATAAAAATAGCAACTTCGATTACTGATTTATTTGATACCGTCATCTCCTAGAATCACTGAATCGATGTACCGCTTTGGTGGTCTAATCTGCCGTGGAACCCTACGCCGCTCTTCCTCGGAATTCTCCTTGTGATATTGTTTTGCTGATCCCACTTCCGGTAATTCCTGAGTGACGTGATCTCGTTCAGTTTCCACCGCTTCCTCTGGTAAATCAGATTTGTTATTATCCTCTTCCGTGCGCTGAACAAACTTTTTAAGAAATTTAACACTACGATCGAAAGTTTTGTTCGTTGACGTATCCATAACTGTCGCTCGTCCAGCCCCGACCAAATCCACAACCTTATATAACACGTTCTTATAAACAGTATCTGCTTTATCTCTCTTCTGCTGCGCAACTAACACAATATCTCCAACCTTAATCTCGGATTCCTGAGCACGGCGACGATTGTCTTCTCGTGTGTTGCGATCAAACTTTGCAATTTGATCTCGGTCGCGAAGTTCTCCATCATCCTTATGTCTGATGTCCGTACGGAAATCTGGTAGAAAACCTCTGACTACTCTCCCAAACATTAGCTCAGCAGGTGGAACCTTCGTCACATGATGAGGCCATGAATTGTATGCAGCTACGTAGTCAGCAAGGGCTTCCTTCCAGTTCTGCTTTCCAAGCTTTGCTATTGCCGTAATTTTGTTTATGCCTTGCATGCTTCTTTCAACCAGTCCATTTTCAGTTGGATTCAATGGCGTGCTGTGTATCATCTTCACTCCCCATGTTTCTTTGAGCCAAACCTTAAGCTCCACACTGTTGAACGGTGGGCCATTATCCGCCTTCAGCGTCTTGGGAATATAATATGTGTTGAAAACTCTTTTCAAAACCCTCTTGACAGCCTCTGTGTCAGTTTTTTCCATTGGGATAGCAATTAGGAAACGCGAATAATTATCAGTTAGAACCAATGCCTTCCAGTTGTGTAAATCAGATGCCGATGAGAAATCTATTGACACATATTCCCACGGATTAGTCGGCAGCTCTGTCATCGTAATAGGCGGTGGATGGCTGTACAACGTGACCAACTGACATTCAGGGCAACTCTTCACAAACTCTTCCACTTCACGGTCCATACAAGGCCACCACAAACCTTGCCTCAAAATGTGTTTCATTGTAGACATGCCTGGATGGCTTCGATGAGCTATGCGCAAAGCCCTTGTACGTAGTGCTGAAGGTAACACCATTTTCTCCTCCTTCATCAGCATATCTCGCTGCAGGTACATCTTCCTTTGGAACGGTTGGTATTTCGCTATCTCAGCAGGCCACTTTTCACCTTTGTTGAGCCAACTAATTACTGTCTGAAGTTCAACATCCTTCAGCAACTCGTCTCTTACCTGTCCGTTGGTCAAAGCTAAGAGCTGATCACTGATTATGCCAGGATTCGCAGTAACCGAACACAATTCGTGAGCTTCTGCATCTGCACCGTATTGGGGGTCATCTCTTTGAATACCAATCCTCGAAGCGGCATCGGCTATATTATCACAACCTGCTACGTGCTCAAAATCATAACAGAAATGGTCTGTCCGGAGAAGCCAGCCCTCCGCTCTGGACATAATTCTTTTTCCTACATCTTTACAACCTTTGTTCTTCTTCATGAACATCAAAGCTTCACTATCGGAACGCAATATGAAACGACGGCCAAGGAGGTAATAGACAAATCGTTCCATGGACCAAACGATGGCAAGTGCCTCACGATGTAATTGAGGATATCTACACTCTGCACTTGTCAAGCTTTTGGATGCGCACGCAATGATGCGTTGTTGTCCAGAATTTAGATCTATTTGGACTAGGACAGCTCCAAGGCCCCAAGGCGAAGCATCCGTATAAAGGATAGTCGTATCTTTTTCATCGAAATATCCTCGTTTGACCAAATGCTTTTCGGCTTCATCTTTAAGGTCATCGAACACTTTTTGATACTCCTCATTCCATTCAAATCTAGAATTTGATGTTAGAAGATTTCGCAATGGCTTGGTCTTGTGAGAGAAATTCTTAATGAATGGACTAATGAACGTTAGCATACCTAAAAAGCTACGTACTTCCGACGAGTCCTTTGGACTCTTGAAAAGCTTGATATCCGAGATTTTATTGTGCATCGGTAGTATACCTGAACCATCGATCGTGAACCCAAGAAAATCCACAGAAGTCTGGTTATACACCGATTTCGCCTCATTGATTGTCAAATTATTCTTCATTAAAACATCTTTGACGTCAGTAACACAAATTTCCAGTTCTTCCAAAGTACGCCCGAAGATCAAAATATCGTCAAGATAGACGACGATATTTTTACAGTTCAGTAGAAGCGTCTCCATTACACGTTGGAATAACTCCGGAGCACATGACAGTCCGAAAGGTAATCTTTTGAACCGCATAAGGCCGTTTGCCGTCATGAACGTAGTAAAATGCCGTACTTCCTCGAGAATCTCGACATGAAAATATGCATCCTTTAAATCCAACTTTGTAAAGAACAACGTACCACCTCCATTTGGAATTTCTGCCCAAATCTTTTCCAAAGAAGGCATTGGATACGGTTCTCGAATGATGGCCTTATTAACCGCTCTATAATCCACGACGATACGAAAATCATTAGCACCCTTCGGAACTAACACTAGAGGCGACACGTAAGATATAACATCCTGCTCTTTATCCGCTCTCTCGATAATCCCCTTAACCTCCATGTCGTGTAG